AAAAAAAAAGAAAAAAAAATTGGCCAGATGCGGTGGCTCACATCTATAATCCCAGCATTTTGGGAGGCCAAGGTGGACAGATCACAAGGTCAGGAGTTCGAGACAAGCGTGGCCAATATGGTGAAATCCCATCTCTACTAAAAATACAAAAAATTAGCCAGGCGTGGTGGCAGTCACCACTAGTCCCAGCTACTTGGGAGGCTGAGGCAGGAGAGTAGCTTGACCCTGGGAGGCAGAGGCTGTAGTGAGCTGAGATCATGCCACTGTAGTCCATCCAGTCTGGGTGACAGAGCGAGACTCCATGTCAAAAAAAAAATTAGCTGTGTGCAGTGACGCATGCCTGTAATCCCAGCTACTTGGGAGGCTGAGGCACAAGAACCTGGGAGGTGGAAGTTGCAGCAAACAGAGATCACGCCACTGCACCCCGGCCTGGGCAACAGAGCAAGACTCTGTCTCAAAACAAACAAAAAAATCAGGATATTTTACAGAAGTCTGGTTCTGGTCTCTCTTGAGGCAGCAGGAGATCTGGCTGCCTTGAGGCAAGTGGTGACTGCCCTTGGTAAAAGGGGGAAACAGCTGCAATCACCCACCTCTCCCAAACAACTTCACGCTGAGACAGAGGTCTGGGTACTACATACCTCGCACAAGTGGGAAGATACAGATCGGGGGGCTATGTGTGTGTGAATACCAGCTGTTTGTGAATGGGCGACATGAACGACCATAAACAGTCAGTGATGGGTCCCCACCCGTGCTGCCTACCGTGTGGCGAGTAGACTCGAAGGTTGATGGGCACTGGGGAGATGCCTTTGTTGGTCCCCGTCACCCTGTCGGTCTCTGCTTCAATCTCCTGCCGGACTTCATCAAAATCTGTAAACTTTTTGGACTTGCAGTGCAAAAACTCAGCATATTCTGGAAAGGGAAGAGAGATGCTGAAAATGAGAAAGAGCTGTGGGCAGGGCGCGCATGGGCGGCAGAGAGAATGCTTTGTTGAACGAAAGTAATGACCCAGGCCGGGCGTGGTGGCTCACGCCTGTAATCCCAGCACTTTGGGAGGCAGAAGCTGGCAGATCACGCGGTCAGGAGACTCAGACCATCCTGGCTAACATGGTGAAACCCCGCCTCTACTGAAAATACAAAAAGTTAGCCGGGTGTGGTGGCACACGCCTGTAGTCCCACCTACTCAAGAAGCTGAGGCAGGATAATTGCTTGAACCCGGGAGGTGGAGGTTGCAGTGAGCCGAGACCGCCACTGCACTCCAGCCTGGGTGACAGAGCGAGACTCCGTCTCAAAAAAACAAACAAACAAACAAACACCAATAAAATAAAATAAAATAAAAAAGAAAATAATGACCCAGTCATTGTCACTCTAGGAATTTAGGAGTGAGAGATTCATTCTCATGACAAGTGTCTTGGGGCAGGCAGGGGTTCCTACAGACTGAATAGACTGAGCCCCTTTCCAGATCCTGACGATTATATTCCCATGTGGCACTTTGCAAACTATTAATATACATCACGACATATTATGAATCCCCCAAAAAAAAAAAAACCGACAGGTAGACATGACCAATGACCAAAGTTTCTTTGGTTTCTTTGTTTTGTTTTTTACAGGCAGGATCTCGCTGTGTCACCCAGGCTGGCGTGCAGTGGTGTGATCACAGATCGCTGCAGCCTTGAACTCCTGGGCTCAAGCAATCCCCCTGCCTCAGCCTCCTAAAGCACTGGGATTACAGGCCTGTACCACCATGCCCAGCCATTTATTTGTTGATTGATTGATGAACAGAAGAGGAAGTGCCAGGACACATCACCCAGAGAGGGTGAGTCCATTTGATGAAGGTGATGCTGCAGAGCCTCCCTTGCTGTGGGTCCCAGTCAAGGGAATTCGATGCCTAAGTCCTTGTGGGATCATGGTCCACCAGCACATTCCAGCTCCACAAAATCCCCAGGGGTATTTCCCATGGCACTCACTTCTCCTTCTTCCCCAGGGAGCCCACAAGGTACAGGGAAGGGGCACCCCCGCCGACCCCTCAGAGCTGGTCTTGAGTCTTTCCTTCTCCCACCGGCTATTCAAGAGGGTCCCCTACCTAGACACAAACTCCCCAGGAGAAATGCTTTCTGGGCATAACCCTGAGTGCATGTAAGACCTGGGGGTAACTGAAAGCCACAGCGAGACTGAGATGAAGGGGAACAAGATAAGTAACTGACAAGCAGTGTGGGTCTCACCAGGAAACCAGAGAAATCCAGTCCCAAATCACAGATTCAGGACAAAGCAAATATAAAGCATGTTCATCACGGAAGGTGGCTGCCGAGCACACAGGTGTCCACTGTACAAACCCTTGACGTTTCTAGATGTTCGAATTTTCAGAGTAAAATGTTGGGGAGGGGAAATCCCCAAAGCTCAGAGATCACAGCTACTATAGTGATGCTAAAAATAAGGGGGAAACGGCTGGGCACAGTGGCTCACGCCTATTATCCAGCACTGTGGGAGGCCGAGGAGGGTGGATCACTCGAGCCCAGGAGTTCAAGACCGGCCTGGGTGACACAGTGAGACCCCGTCTCTACAAAAATGTAAAAAATTAGCCAGGCATGTTGGCGTGCACCTGTAGTGCCAGCTACTTGGGAGGCTGATATGGTCTGGCTCTGTGTCCCCACCCAAATCTCATCTTGTAGCTCCCATAATTCCCTCGTGTTGTGGGAGGGACCCAGCAGATTACTGAATCATGGGGGCGGGGCTTTCCTGTGCTATTCTAGTGAGAGCAAATAAGTCTCACGAGATCCGATGGTTTTAAAAATGGGAGTTTCCCTGCAGAAGCTCTCTCACTCTCTTTGTCGGCTGTCATCCACATAAGACGTGACTTGCTCCTCCTTGCCTTCCGCCATGATCGTGAGGCTTCCCCAGTCCAGCTGTGTGGAACTGTAACTCCACTAAACCTCTTTATTTTATAAATTGTCGAGTCTCAAATATGTCTTTATCAGCAGTGTGAAAATGGACTAATATGAGGCTGAGGTGGGAGGATTGTTTGAGCCCAGGAGCTGGAGGTTGCAGTGAGCTATCATCTATGACCGCACCACTGCATTCCAGCCTGGGCGACAGAGCAAGACACTGTCTGAAAAAGAGAAAAAAAGAAAGGGGTAATAAGTCACACTGGCAAAGAGGTCAGAGACCTGACCTGCCACAGAGATGCAAAGATGTGCACTGCCCTGTCGTTTTTAACAGTAAAAAAACGAAAATGGTGTCAACGTCCACCAGGAGGAGACCTGGCAACATGAACAACACAGCCATGCCATAAACTGCCTGAAGCACAGGCAAAAAGGGAGATGAACGTCCAGCCAGGTCTAGAATCTTCAAGGCAGAAAGAAGAGTGTGAGGAGGTTCACCGTTCCATCATGGCTACCAAAGAAACTATGGTGCTCTGGCCAGGCCCTGCGTGTGGTCCCATAGCACCTCACAAGTCCCCTGAGAGGTAGGCATCTCTGAGATCCCCATTTCAAAGATGAAAAAACAGGCCCAGAGAGGTTAAGGGCCTTGGGCCAAGTTCCGTGATGGAGCTGGGAATTGGAACTCAGAAATTCTGGCTGCAGGTAGGGGCTCCCAAGCCAGACAGCCTTTGTGAGGCCACCAGAAGTATCTTCACCTCTCTGAGCGTCTCTGCAGGGTCAGGCGGAGACTCAGTGGGTTCCGATGACTGAGGACCGTGTCTGGCACAGACACTGGCCACCAGATCAGGGGCAATGAGGACGTCTGCTGGAAGATTCAGGATCCCCACCCCCACCCCCAGCCCTGCTATCAGCTGACCCGGTTGCCAAGGACAGTTACACTCCAGCCTTCTGGAGGGACAAGGGGAAACACTCAGCCGCTCTTCCTGTAGCAGCCACTAAAAATGGAACAGCTCCCAACCCCCCACAGCAAATCTCAGTTCTCTTCTGGCTCCAGGACCCCAGCTCAGCCCCGAAAGAGACCATCTCCTTTCAAAGAGTGCAGGGGCACATGGCATGGAAGATGGGCTGGTGGCAAGGACACACGCCCTCTCCCCAGCAGGCCTCTGTGCCGCCAAGTGTGGTGTCCACAAAGCCCAGCCCCACCTCCTCCTACTCCCGGGCCTGCCTGGCTACCACCTCTCCCGGGAAGACCTCCCTGAGTGGGGCATCTTGGTCCCTTCCTCATCAGAGCCAGCTCACTTTGGATTTTATTGATGGGACCAGGACCTGTGGCTGCAGCACCCCAGAGCCCAGCATGTGGAGGCAGCACGCTGTGTGCAGTAATGAGCTCAGTCTGTAGCCAGAGGGCCTGCCCAGGTCTCAGTCTACTGGTCTATAAAATGTACATCATAACAGGCTGTGTGAGGACTCAGAGTCAACACCTGCACAGGAAGAGCAGAGCCAGCACAGTTACGGTCTGAGCAGCTGGTGGGCAGAAGGCCCCAAGGAATGATGCGGCAAAGAGAGCAGCAGGGGCAGTGGGCGCCATCCTTCCCCCAGCACACACAGGCAGGAGCCCAGAGAGGGCAAGCTACTCTCTCAAGTCACACAGGATCCCCACCTCCCGCAGGTCTCTCTCCCCACAGCAACTGCTCCACCCAGCCCCCTCCTCCCCTGCCTTCGTTTCCCCATAACACTTACTACCATCTGACACAGGGCAAGAAGTCTAATATAGAGAGCTTTGCCTTGAATGTCCATGCCACCAGGGAAGGGACACCCATCTGCCTTGGTCATTGCTGTGTCCCCAAGGGCACAGGCATGCATGTTAGGTGGGAAAACGGAGGTTCTGCCTGCCCAGCTGCCACAGGCTTCAGGGGACATTTACAACCTCTCCTTCCCCCCAGCAAGCTGAAACTAGGTGTCTGACCTGCAAAAGGTTCCCCTGGAACCTCAGGCCATCCTCGAATGCAGCGACCAGGAAATGAGCCCGGGAAGGACCACCTGCCTGACCCAAGTCTGAGTGGTCAGGGGCAGCCCCGAGATGGGGCTGGAACCAGGCGGCCAGACCCACACGCTGGGCTTTGGAGCACAGCACCTTCTCCGGTTGTCACATGCAGGCTGGGAACCAACCGGGGATCAGAGAAGGCAGGGGCTGTTCTTTGTGATCTCTCCTCCTAGATCCTTCTGCTGTCGGCCAAGCCCTCCATGTGGGCGAGGATATGGACAGCCGGTGCCAGAAAACCAGGGTTTCTTCCCTAGTGGGTCAGTGAGCAACAGAACCACACCAGAGAAAAGGCCCAGGCACCGACCAGGTCCACCCCCGCTGCCTGCCTTTCTTCACAGGGCTCCTTGGCACGGTGGAAGTAAATGCTGAATGCCAGGTCAACAGAGGTTTTTTGTTTGTTTGTTTGTTTTGAGACTGAGTCTTACTCTGTCACTGAAGCTGGAGTGCAGTGGTGCAGTCTCGGCTCACTGCAACCTCTGCCTCCCAGGTTCAAGTTATTCTTGTACCTCAGCCTCCCAAGTAACTGGGATTATAGGCACATGCCACCACGCCCGGCTAACTTGTATATTTTTAGTAAAGACAAGGTTTCACCATGTTGGCCAGGCTGGTCCCGAACTCTAGACCTCAGGTGATCTGCCCACCGTGGCCTCCCAAAGTGCTGGGATTACAGGCATGAGCCATCATGCCCAGCCCAATAGAGGTTTAAAAGCTTCCACCAGGCTGAGCGCAGTGGCCCATGCCTGTAACTCCAGCACTTTGGGAGGCTGAAGTAGGAGAATCATTGGAGGCCAGCCTGGGCAACATAGCAAGATCCGACATCTACAAAAAAATTTAAAAATTAGCTGGGCGTGGTGGCACAAGCCTGTAGTTCCAGCTACCTGGGTGGCTGAGGTGGGAGGATTGCTTGAGCCCAGGAGGTTGAAGCTGCAGTAAGCTGTGATCACACCACTGCACTCCAGCCTGGATGACAAAGGCAGACCGGAGATCCTGTCTCAAAACAACGACAAAAAGAGAAATAGAGCGGAGGGCCTAGCCTGGGGCTCTGGTGTGCTGCACGTGCTCAAGTGCTAGAGATGAGATGATTTTTTTTTTTTTTTTTTTTTAAACAATCCACTGGCCCAAAGAATCAGTCAGAGGTCTTAACACTGAGTTCCCTGTCAACTTGTCCACGGCAACCGAGGCCCAGCCACCAAGCCACTGAACCAGCCCTGGCTCTGCCTGTCCTGGTCCCTGCCATCAAGCTGCACCCCACAGCCACCCTCCTCAGACAGGGCATTTCCATACCAAAGCCTGTTCCTCCAGTTCCTCGGCAAACTGCAAAGCATTTTGACAGCTCCACACACACCCCCACTGTCACCCGGCACCCTGAGCCAGGAGGGCTCCCCGGGAGGAGGGTCAGCCCGGGCCCCCTCTGAGAGGTTCACAGCTGGCATGTGATCAGGCCCTGGGGACTCCGAGGGACCCAGCCTGGTGCACAGCGGGAATAAAGGATTAAACTGGGCAGTTGTCCCGCAATGACACTGCCAAGGCCAGGGAGTCAGCCGTCCTCGCCCACCGCAGGGCCTCCTAACCTAACTATGGGCCCACTGGTTGTACTTGGGGGTTTTTCCAGAGAGGTTCTGCCTCCCTCCAAGCCTGTGTCCTGCTACTGAAGCTGGAGCTCTGAGAGAGCAGGGACTTCGTGTGAACCACAGTTCCCCCTAGCATCTTGTATACAGCAGCTGCTTAACTAAAATCCGTGAAAAACGAATCTACGCTCTAACCTAGGAGGACATCACTCCCAGGAACCCCCAACTGGGGCCCCACTGTGCTAAACAGCCAATCCCCTGCACCTCAGGCCCTTTGAGAACGTGTCAAGGGAGCCACAAGTGCAAGCTGCCACCTTCTCAGGGTCAGGGGGCCTGGGACATGAAGAAGCAGCCCCTTGCCAGAGGCCACAGTCACCTCTGGCCTGGTGACCCTGGAGGTCTTTGGAGCCTCCTGTTTCAAAGGAGCTTGTGGAGCCCCAGAGTGACCAATGGCCCTTGGTCAGAGGATGGCCCTCCCTGTCTTCAAAGCACAGCGGTCATGTGCCCGCTGGCACTGCTTAAGATTTTTGAAACGCCCAGGTCCAACTGGGAAGACCTGCCTTCAACCCGACAGACAAGACAGCAGGGTTTGGGGAGGTGAGGAGAGGGAGCGAGGGAGGTGAGGAGAGGGAGCGAGGGAGGAGAGTTTTCGGGGTGCCTCGTGGCTTCACAGCCTAGCGACGCCCAGCTCTGGGTTCCTACCCTTCTCTCGGCACCTCAGTTTCCCCAAAATGCAATGACACAGAACCCAGTGCCGGGGCTCCCATACAACTGCGATCAAATCCCACCGGGAGCACACAGGCGGCTCAGAGGTTAGTCTCAGGGAACCTGCAGGGGCTGAGCTAGGGTCCCAGTGCTTTGCACACTGGGGCTCTGCCCTGATCCTCTCACTATTCCCCCAGCAAAGAACACAATGACCAGGCTGGCCCTGAAGGCAAGGAGAGGAGCTCTGCCTTTCCCAAACCTGGCATTGGCAGGCGTGACCGGGAGGAACAACTTGGGAATCAGCCACCATCAGGAGACCCTAGCTACCACGCCAACAGGCAGGATCCAGTCATGCAGGACTTCCAGAGCCTTCAGCAGATCAAGAAGTAGGCCCAGCACACAGCATTTCCCATGCCCATTTAGCCCTCGAGTTCTCTCTAATCCGAGACAATATGCAAACATCTCCCGGTCCAGGACACATTGTCACTGGGAAGGTGACAGCCTGAGCAGGCATCCCAGCCAGCCCTGGCCTGACGCACACCAGCTTGATTAACTCTCCAGATACAAGGCTGCAGATGGAATGGCAGAGTGATGGGTCGGGCTCACCAGGGAAGGAGCTTGGAAGAGTAACCCCCATCACTTCCCACCCACTAGGCAAGAAGGGGCACAGCACCAGCCCTTTGAGCTCGCTCACTCAGCCCGTGCCTGTGGAGCACCCGCTCGGCGCCAGGTCCTGTGCTGGGCAGGGCCGATCGGCATGCCTGCCCTTGTGTGCTGGCGCAAACAGAGACCATTAAGAAAAAACAAGAACAGGATAACTCGTGCTGCCGGGGAAGGAAGGCGGCAAGTGACCAGGTGGGGGTGAGCAGCAGAGACACTGGCACGTAGGGGACAGGGCGTTCCAGGCGGGCAGCACAGTGAGCACAGAGGCCCAGCAGTGGGAACCAGCAAGCTGGGCCTGAGAATCAGGAGGGAGATGGATGGCGGCAGTGGCTGGGGACCAGGAGGAGGTGAGGTCCCAGAGACTGGCAAGGGCCACAAGACCTTGAGAAGGAGGCTGGATTTGCTTCTGAGGCCAGTGGGAAGCCCTGGAGCCAGGTCCTGACATCTCTTCCCTGGTTCCTGTGAGCACACTAAAGGCCAGTTCAAGGCCAAGGGCGGTGGGAGGGGTGGCTCACAGGGCCTCACTGCACATTCCACACAGGAACAGTCCCGGGCATCTAGAGTTTACAGGGCTGCTTCCCAATGAGGGCAGGGTTCACCTACGGGCCACCAAACTTCCTGGTGGCTATGGTCTTAGTAATGTTTAAACTTCTATGGCTAGAAGTTATGGTTCACTGGAGACGGCTGGAATGAGGGCAAGCTGGGCCACACCGGGCATCGTGGGAACCAGAGAGGAACACGGGCCGCGCCGCGGGGGCCCTGTCTTTGGACATCAGGCCTCACAAAGAGACAGCCATACCACAGCCAATGGGGTGCCATGGCCACGACGGCAGTGCCACCATCACCCCCATTTTATAGATGAAGCCACCAAGGCACAGAAAGGGAAGTCACTTTACCAAGTCCCAGGCCAGTAAAGGGTGGCAGCCTGGCTCTGAGTTTGGTCACAGAGAGCCAGCTTCCAATCCCTAGGAACCACATGGTCTGGTGTATACCCCACAAGGCCCCGCCAGCCCAGCAATCACCAATGCCTGCAATGTGTTCATTTTCCTCTCCTGTTAGTAGGGCGTTCTACCTCCCACCCACCTCCCCCAGCCGGGGTGCCTATGCTGCTTAATGCCTCGCCTGGAAGATAGTCTGGACTGCCTGGCATCTGCCAGCACCACCAGGGCCAGGCCCCCATCGCCTCTTGCCTGCCGCCATGCCAGCCTCCCTGACATTCCCTATCCCCACTCCCTGCTTGCATTCTGGTCCCTGACTGTCCCTCCTGAACATGGCGGCCAGTGGTCTCCCCACATCATGCATGCCACCCCAGCTCCCACTGCCCAAATCCTCAACATGCCTGCCAGTCCCAGTCCCTCCTGCCTTCTGGCCC